GGGTGGTGAACAGCTATGTAACATCGTATCTTGGTCAATTATTCTTAATCATTTCACCCCAAGCGAGATAGTAAAGCCACTAAGATGCAGGACATTACTGAGTGTGAAAGAATATAAGAAAAATAAAACGTTAATAAGGAGCCAGACAACAAAAGAACACGTATTAAGAAGATGACGATTGACATTGTATTTAAATATTTGAAAATCAAAATTTACTGGGAAGCAAGAAACCGGAAGAGAGTTCCACAAGCGAGAAGTGCGATCGAAGAAAATCTTACGGTTATATCTAGACATTTCAACTGCAAAATGGTGAGACTTTGCCGCCAATCTAGTAGTAAGCTCAAATTTATAAGCTCTAGGTATCAAATTGGAAAGCTCATCAGAAAAATTACCATGAAAATATTTATAGAAAATGCACAAGAAAGTTATGTGGCGAATATATAATTTATAAACCGTAGCAATTACAATATATCTTAGTTGGACTTTCTTCTACATTTACCCGATTCTTTTTATGTCCTGGATTCGACATCAGTATTTGTTGATTTACGGTGCAACAGATCATTTTCATTGATTTGTTGAGCTCTCTGTAATGGGCGACAATTCTCTAGGTCTTTTGTGTTTGATGTTATTAAAATCTCATAAATCTAGCTTAGTAAAGCGCAAAGACAAATTAGGAAAACACGAATAAGACGAATTTATCACACAAAGCTTTTCATAGGGGTTATCAAGACTAACTTGAAAAAGAGTATTCAAAATACATTTAGAGTCTGTCTATATTTCTGAGATGAGGTATTATGTACATTATCTACATTATTCGGACTATTGTCCTTATCTTTGTCGCCATATTTATCACAGCGTTTCGGCTGTTGTACGCTCTGGCCTTCTTCAGGTGGTTGGAATTTCGAACTGAACCCTTTATTTCGCTCACTGGGGTAGACTGTTCTAGTCCCACGTGCCATGTTTAATGGATGTCAGTTATCAGTTATCTCCTGCTAATTTCCCTCTGAAAGTTCTCCATTGCCTTAACCGGGCATTGAACTCACACTCTTTGGGTCCTGTCACTGGATCAGTGCATAAAGGCGTTGCTTAGAAATTTAAATGGACGTCAAAACAGAGACAAAACGGGGCGATGAATGGTATCAATTACAGGATGTTGTGGAGAGCCATGATTGCCCACATCATGAAGGAATTTTGTAAGAAGAAATGAAATAGTTTTCAAAAATAAGGCATTCTTCAGCATTTTTTTCTTTATGCACCATGGTCCCTCAGGTCGTAGGCGATCATGGCTCTCCACAATTTCCTGTCTCTTGTAGCTCTTAATAAATTTTTTTTGTTCGTTATTTTTCCTAACCTCTGTCCTGCCATCCATTTACTCAAGCTCACTAAATATGTTAGGCGTTGTTTTCCTGTGTCCCTCTTGCTTTCAATCTGCCCTGTGAGTATCAGACTTTTCAAACCGTTTTTCTTCATTATGTTCCCCAGAAATTTCAACTGTCTCTTCCTCATGTTAACATAACTTTCCTTTTTGTTTCCATTTTCTCTAAATTTTCGTCATTGCTCGCAGTTTCCTTTCTCTGTCTGTTATCAACATTGTGTCATCTGCATACGTTGTTAAGATTTTGGCCGCCAACAGTGAATTCTGGTGGGAGTTCCAATTCTCTAAGAATCGCCTCAGTGTATAGATTGAATACGTCCGGCGAGAAGATACATCCTTGTCTTACACTCCTTTCTATTTTTATATATTTACTGAATTCCTGCAAACTGTTTGCTGCTAGTATAGGATCTGAATTGTTCTAATATGCTTCCCAAATATGTCATGGTTACCTGGCAGTCCCAACAGTTCTTTGATTTTAAGTATTCTATTTCTTTGCCTGTTATTAAAGTTAAAAGGAAGAGGCTTAAAAGTGTATTAGAAACGCCGATTTTTCCATTAATATATCAATTTTCTTCTTATTTCTCAAAGACTCACTCAAAAATCGCTAAGCTTTTTAAATTATTTTAGGGAAGATTATGTATATAGGTGGTGTAACGGCTATCGACAAATGAATTAGAATCGGTTGACCGAGTTCAAATTCAGCATGTTGCGTTCATTTCGCGCTAAAACACTTGGGAAATGCATGAATTCATCCCCTTTCAACTAAGTAAGAGTGGTAGAACAGATAGTCCAGGAAGAGCATTGGTTTGTTTGTTTAACGGCATATCAACATCTTATGAGTCATTTAGTGCCGAAATGTAATTTTCTTGAGAGCTTTGAAGTAATAAAAATATGTTAATTTGTTTTCACAGTTGAATACATGGTAGATGATACTCGGCTTTTGTGCATATACATGTTTGTGTAGACATAATTACTAGAGGTGTTAATATGTTGTTTTTAGATTATATTTTGGAATACAGTTTGATTTAAGAAATTGTTGGATATTATATAGATTAGTGTTATGAAAGTGTTCATAAATGTCAGTTGCTTGATTTTGTTTAGCGGCCTATCGACATCTCTATGGGTTATTTAATTTTGTTTAGCGGCCTATCGACATCTCTATGGGTTATTTAATGCTGCAATCTAAATAATTTGAACATAATTATGGCTTCAACTAAACTCTACTATATTGTTATCTTTTTAATATAAAATTGTATTTTTATATTTTCATAGTTTTTTGATTGGTGGGGGGGTCACTATTTGCCCATAGCTGTGACCCTAACAGGTGTTACCTCTCCGGATCAGGTTGGACCCGGGAACAACAGCAATTAATTGTGGATATGGCAATACTTTCTTTCTTTCATTCTTTCTTTCTTTCTTTCTTTCTTTCTTTCTTTCTTTCTTTCTCTCCACCTTATACTATACTCACTCTTTGTTGATTATTGTCATTGTTTTTTTTAGTTTGAACGACATTGTCTGTCTCTCTTTCTTTCTTTCTTTCTCCCCACATTATTTTATACCCGCTCTTTGTTGATTATTGTCATTCTGTTTTTAGTTTGTATGGCATTGTTTGTCTCTTTCTTTCTTTCTTTCTTTCTTTCTTTCTTTCTTTCTTTCTTTCTTTCTTTCTTTCTTTCTTTCTCCCCACATTATTTCATACCCCCCTCTTTATTGATTATTCTCATTCTTTTTACCTTTTACGGCACTGTCTCTCTTTCTTTCTTCCCTTCTTTCCTTTCTTTCTTTTTCTTGTTTTTTTTTTTTTTTTCTTACATTGTTTCATACCCATTTTTTGTTTTTCATTCTCATTCTTTCATCACGAATTTGAAGGGAATTCGTAAGAAAAATTTTGATGTATCTTAAGGACAATTTTGGCTATTTACAGATACTAAAGAAATCGTGAAGAGTTATGTTTGCTTATGTACCGAAGGGACAATGTTAAAAAGATTCAGTAATATTTCCCAACTGATAGAACTAGATATACAATATGAGCATTATTCCTATTCATACCCGTGTAAAATCCAAACGTTTTACTTTCAGCAGGTAGTACACATCATCATAAATTATAATTATTTCAATTGTCAGTGTTTATATATAAGTTTATTCTTTTACTTTCGGAAGCATTTTAGAAAATTATTGTATTTTTTTTTTTTTTTTGACATCGAAAACGAGTTTGTTGTCATCGATTCTTAATGAAGTTACTTCAGTGGGCGTTTCGATTTGTCCATTTGAAAAGCGTTGAATTAAGAGTTCAGTCGTACGTACATCCGCAATCTATAGAATGGATTAGCTTACAAGAAGATAATAATGAATACCGTATTTGCCAATTAAGGTGAATTATTGGGTTTTTATTGGTTTTTAATCAGCCAATCGTAGTAAGATAATGATTCGTATTTCTACATAATTAAAAAAATCAGAGACAGGAAAGAGATGAACGCAAGAAACTCATTAGACTAGCTTCTCCACGAAATAATGTATTTTTGCTTGGTTTAGCAGAGTCCATTTCAGCATTTCATTCATACATATCTATGATATAGTTTAATTAGTAACAAAAAATTAAAAATGATAATTAATCATAGATATTTATGTTAATTCATTTTAATAAAACTCATAGTAGAGCTGAGAAAATTCAGCAAACGATTTTTTAAATACTTTTCTTTTCCTTCTATTCTTTTCACGCCCAGTACCTCACCCGCTGCCTCATAGTGGCTTTGTTGCCTTGCTTGGATTGAAATGATTTTTTTAATCAATACTTTCTTTCCCAAGCAAGGCAACAAAGCTTTTTCATATAGTTAAGAAATTTCATTTTTTTCTTATTTTTGTGATGTCAACGAATACTCGTTGTTCCTTTCGTAATGCCCGTTGTAGTAGAGACTTTGTAATCGCAGATACAACTACAGTACGCCATTGAACAATACTGGTGTCAGACGCCTTCGAATATCATTCTCAATAATCGTACTCGCTCGATAATACTAGCTCGAACAGTAATCCCTATAGTGATCTGTGTAGAGAAATAGTATAGTGAATAGTGGTCCGTTTTTTAATGGAGGATAGATTAGAAATAGCGATCACTTAGACGTCACGCTACCTTCCATATATGTGTTTTCTCTATGGTCATGTGGTCTACTTAATTCAATAATAGGATCGCTTGTGTTTGCACACTGGCGTTCTATGTCCAAACTCAAGTGTCGGCAGCGACATTTTATTCTTATATAACACATATCAAGGAAACGTTTATCGTATCTTTGGCATTTCCATATTCTTCGCTTGGCGACTCTTACTTCTTAGGATCATTATTATAGAAGAATTATGAGAGGTATATGTTGGGGATTTACCATGGACAACTAAAACCAGGAAGCGGGAAATCGTAGATAAAAAAGCAGTAACATCTGTTCAGTTTCCTCATTTCACACTTGGAACTTTTGAAAATAATTTATCAGGGACGAAATTTACTTGGATGAATAACAAATATTAAAGATTTTAAAGGAGGAATTATCATGGGACAAGGTAAAAAAGAAAGAAAGAAAAATGTAATATAAAAAAAAATGGGAAAGAGAATCAAAAAAGTAGACATTATGAAATATAGTCAGAAAGAAAGAACAAAGAAAGAGCACAATGTAACAGAAAATAAAAGAGCGAGGGAATAAAAGATAATATGTAAGTATAAAATGTACTGACAATAAAGGGGAGTATGAAAAATAAAAGGAAGAGGGAGTGAGAAGGACAAAATAGCACAAAATAAAAAGGGGGGGAAATAAGCACCAATGGATGAGTATAAAATATAACGAGAAAGAAAGAATGAACGTGAGAAAGAAATTGACGGACAAAAATAAAAGGAATGAGAATAAGCAAGAAAGAAAGAAAGAAAGAAAGAAAGAAAGAAAGAAAGAAAGTGAGAGGGAGAGTGCTTTACAACCAAAAAAAAAAGAATGAGAATATCAATAGAGTGGGTATGAAACAATGAGAAAAAAGAAAAGAAAGAAAGAAAGAAAGAAAGAAAGAAAGAAAGAAAGTGAGAGGGAGAGTGCTTTTTTAAACAAAAAAAAAAATGAAAATATCAATAGAGTGGGTAAAACAATGTGAAAGAAAGAAAGAAAGAAAAGAAAGAAAGAGAAGAAAGAAAAGAAAGAAAGGAGAGGGAGAGTGCTTTACAACCAAAAAAAAGAATGAAAATATCAATAGAGAAAGAAACAATGTGAAAGAAAGAAAGAAAGAAAGAAAGAAAGAAAAGAAAGGAGAGGGAGAGTGCTTTACAACCAAAAAAAAAGAATGAGAAATATCAATAGAGTGGGTAAAACAATGTGAGAAAGAAAGAAAGAAAGAAAGAAAGAAAGAAAGAAAGAAAGTGAGAGGGAGAGTGCTTTACAACCAAAAAAAAAGAATGAGAAATATCAATAGAGTGGGTATGAAACAATGTGAGAAAGAAAGAAAGAAAGAAAGAAAGAAAGAAAGAAAGAAAGTGAGAGGGAGAGTGCTTTACAACCAAAAAAAAAGAATGAGAAATATCAATAGAGTGGGTATGAAACAATGTGAGAAAGAAAGAAAGAAAGAAAGAAAGAAAGAAAGAAAGAAAAGAAAGTGAGAGGGAGAGGGCTTTACAACCAAAAAAAGAATGAGAAATATCAATAGAGTGGGTATGAAACAATGTGAGAAAGAAAGAAAGAAAGAAAGAAAGAAAGAAAGAAAGAAAGAAAGAAAGAAAGTGAGAGGGAGAGTGCTTTACAACCAAAAAAAAGAATGAGAAATATCAATAGAGTGGGTATGAAACAATGTGAGAAAGAAAGAAAGAAAGAAAAAAAAAAGAAAAGAAAGAAAAAAGAAAAGAAAGAAAGAATGTGAGAGGGAGAGTGCTTTACAACCAAAAAAAAAAAGAATGAGAAATATCAATAGAGGGGTATGAAACAATGTGAGAAAGAAAGAAAAAAGAAAGAAAAGAAAGAAAGAAAGAAAGAAAGAATGTGAGAGGAGAGTGCTTTACAACCAAAAAAAAGAATGAGAAATATCAATAGAGTGGGTATGAAACAATGTGAGAAAGAAAGAAAGAAAAAAGAAAGTGAGAGGGAGAGTGAAACCAAATAAAAAGAATGAGAAATATCAATAGAGAAATGTGAGAAAGAAAGAAAGAAAGAAAGAAAGAAAGAAAAGAAAGAAAGAAAGTGAGTGGGAGAGTGCTTTACAACCAAAAAAAAAAAAAAGAAATATCAATAGAGGGGTATGAAACAATGTGAGAAAGAAAGAAAAGAAAGAAAGAAAGAAAAGAAAGCATGTGAAGGGAGAGTGCTTTACAACCAAAAAAAAAAAGAATGAGAAATATCAATAGAGTGGGTATGAAACAATGAGAAAAGAAAGAAAAAAAAAAAGAAAGAAAGAAAGAAAGTGAGCAGAGTGCTTTACAACCAAAAAAAAGAATGAGAAATATCAATAGAGTGGGTATGAAAACAATGTGAAAAGAAAGAAAAAAGAAAGAAAGAAAGAAAGAAAAAAAAGAAAGAAAGTGAGCGGGAGAGTGCTTTACAACCAAAAAAAAAGAATGAGAAATATCAATAGAGTGGGTATGAGAACAATGTGAGAAAGAAAGAAAGAAAGAAAGAAAGAAAGAAAGTGAGAGGGGAGAAACAACCAAAAAAAAAGAATGAGAAATATCAATAGAGTGGGTATGAAACAATGTGAGAAAGAAAAGAAAGAAAGAAAGAAAGAAAGAAAGAAAGAAAGAAAGAAAGAAAGTGAGAGGGAGAGTGCTTTACAACCAAAAAAAAAAGAATGAGAAATATCAATAGAGTGGGTATGAAACAATGTGAGAAAGAAAGAAAGAAAGAAAGAAAGAAAGAAAGAAAGAAAGAAATTGAGAGGAGAGTGCTTTTACAACCAAAAAAAAGAATGAGAAATATCAATAGAAATGTGGAAAAGAAAGAAAAGAAAGAAAGAAATTGAAAGGAAGCAGGCTTTACAACCTAAAAAGAATGAGAAAGAGCAACGGAGAGTCGCTATGGATCCATGTAAGAAAGAAAGATAGTGAGATAGAAAATGCCTTACGACTTGAAATGGAATTAGAATAAACAAAATAGATTGGGTAGGAAAGAAATAAAGAAAGAAAGAAAACTATAATAAATAAGAAAGAAAGTCAAAGACTCTAGATTGAGAGAGAATCATAAGCTATATTATTGCCAATCATGAGTCGGTTAACTTGCTGCCTAGTTGCTCGATTTCTCCCATTCTCTTCAACTACGAATGATTTCTTCTTCTTCGCTTGTTTGTTTTTCATTTACTCACTTTAACTCATCAGTTTCACTTCATTTCATTTTTTCTACTTTCTCGTCTCTTTTTACCCTTATTTTCCTCATATTATCACTCCACCCACAATTTTCTCCCCAATTACCTCAGATCTTTGCTATAATCGTTACCTTCCATTTTATAATTATTTTAAAAAGATATTAATTCAATGGTTCATCTGTTCCGGTACCAATTAATTGTTACTGGTATTTTTTTATGATATCAGCTCCAATACATTGATTAATAAGATTATCACAAGAATTACTTAATTCCTTCTCGAGTTCATAAACTGCAGTTCCACTGACCCGTACCCTCTATCATTTCAAAATTAAGGATCATTTTCAACAAGGATGATTTGCATTTAAATTTTAGATATTTTATGTTTTAGACAATTTCATGTTTTATATTATTAATTAGAGATGCGAAATTGGATAACGGATTAAGTTTAAAAGAATTTGTCTAAGGAATTTGGTCAAACAGAGCTGACCTAACTGAGTTGGTGGAATTAATTTCGAGTTGATTCTAATTGTCTTTCATCTAGCAGTGTTCGTCTAACGAATTTGGTTTAACGGCGAGTAAAATGAAATCGGCGAACATAGTTCATATTGCACCCGAAGTAGTGATTGTTCATTTCTGAATTAGACGCTCAGAAACGGTATAAATCTTCCTGTCCAGTGTAGATCATGAACAGCATGAGCGAACTAAATGTAGTACGGACATTTGCCACTACCATTGAGAGCAATATTCTTTGTGAATTTATTCTTTCTTTATTCTAGGGTTTATCATGGCAATTGAATCCAGGATGGATAATGAAGAAATAACAATATCTAGGAAAGTCTGATAGCTAGATATAAAAATGTTTTTTTTTATTTTATTTATCTTTCAGGCTGTATACAGTCAGTGATTTCCACATTATATAAAGTTGGAATAGACAATACTGTTTTCAGTAAATATAATGGAGTGTGTTACACTTGACTTTTGCACGGTTTTAAATTCCTTCTCCTAAAATGTTTACTCTATAAACTTCTGTATCGCAAAATGAAAGATGACTTGAACGGGCACCCTTCCAGATTCATTGGTACTAATGTAGGTGTCCATTGGATCTTTATCATTGGTCCTGTTTTATCCCTAATGTTCATTGATGATTTTTCTGATGGCATCAGCTCTCAACTTATTATGTATGCTGATGACAAAACCATTTGCTCCTGTCACGATAGTAAGTCTGATCAGAGCGATAGGGTCAAACTAGCGGATGATCTAAAAAATGACCTCCAGTCTGTTAACTGGGACAAAAGATGTCTTATTTATTTGAACGCATCCAAAACGAAACTGCTCTCTAGTAATAAGCTGAAAGACATTTTTCTGCCTTCCATCTGCATGTCTGATGCTAACCTCCAGTCGAGTAACTCATTGCACCTTCTCGTGCTACGGTTCTCGGCTGAAATGAAGTGGAAAGACTATATTGAATTCATTGCTTGGTCAGCTGCTAATAAAATTAGTTCACTGTATCATGCTAGCCACTTTTTTCTCTCCCGAATCTATCTTACATATCTATAAGTCTACCATTCGTCCATACCTCGAATATTCCTGCCACTTATGGTCTGGTTCGCCTGCTGTACATTTAGAGATCCTTCATAAAATACAAAGAAAAATCAGTAAAATTATTGGCGCTAACATCTCTGCTTCAGACATTTTCCCATCGCGGTACATTTGCTTTCTTTATAAATATTTTTGACGCACGAGCTCTTTTACTATAGTACCTAGGCTTTTTATATATATATATATATATATATATATATATATATATATATATATATATATAAACTCATAATATATAATCATTCGTATATAAACTCATATATATAATCATTCGTATATAAACTCCTTATAATAAAACGATTTATAGTCATTTTTTTCAAGCTTAGATGTCGCACAAGGCCGAAAGTAGTGGCACCCAGTGAGGATCGAACTCACTACTCAGTCGTAAGTGTTCTAGCTAGCCAAGCTTGCTTGCTTGCTAACCATTACACCGCCTCGAGGTGCCCAAATAAAAAACAATATATATGTTATAGGAAAGAATATGTATTCTCTAACCAATCCTAATTGATTTATTACCCGCTAAGCAGATGAATATTTTCTCTACAAATCCAAGAAAATTTGTATTACCTTTACGCACAAACGACAATGATTAAACATTGGAAAACAAGGAAAAATTAATTCCTTTAAATAACATGTGGAAATAACCATTCTTTGCCTGATGAAGGTCACAAGACCCGAAACTGGTTTAACCAAAATATGGAAAATAAAGCATAATATATATTTTTTAAAATGAACATTATAACCAAAAACGTGTGCGGCTTCCGTCCTTATATAAATATATATATATATATATATATATATATATATATATATATATATATATATATATATATATATATATAAGCCCAATAAAATTTGCAATTACTACTATGAACAAAAGACAATGATTAAACATCGGAAAACAAGGAAAAATTAATTCCTTTATATAATATGTGGAAATAACCACTCTTTGCCTGATGAAGGTCACAAGACCCGAAACAGGCTCTTTGCATAAGAGGCGTTTTTTCCTTCTTTTTTTTTTTTTTACTCTTTTATGTACCAAATAAATTGCCATGTGACTAATACAGCCATATTACAGATAGGGGAGGACTGAGTGCTGTACCAGTTGGCTAAGTCTTCAGATTAGCTTGAGTCTGCTAGGCATAAAAATTGTTAATAGTAATAGAATATTGAAGGCAAGACAAATTATTACAGTAAATTGTGTTACTAATAATAAAATATGTATGTAGGCGCTGTACGGTCTGCTGAAATACCCGTTTCTGTTATAATGCATTCACTTATTTTTCTATTGCTTATTTTATACTACTGCCATTGTTCAGTGAAATGTTTTGTTTGTTTGATTGTACTGTAATTATCTGTAAGAATCCATCCACATTAATTGTACGTTACTAATGGCTTTATATCAATTTACTATGTTTATATGGAACAGTAGCCATTGGTACAAATTTACCAGTATTTTTTTTCCGTTTTGGTAATTTTACTTTATTTTATTTTGAAGGTTAATGTTACAATATAGGATTCTATACATTATTCGTTTCTATTATATTTGCAGGCACAAAATCATAGATTTTCTTCTACAAAACCACTTTTACATATATTTCAATAAATATATGATGAAACATACTATTTTTTCCGCAAAACATCCTTGTAAAATAGGTGGGATACTTGTTATGCGAAGACAAATACAGAACATGATCACTTTCAAGCTTGACAGTATCCCAGGTTCGAATCCATTGTATACCTCATTTTAGCCGAGCAGAAGAAACTTAGGGTTGAATTGGCTAGACGCAACCGTAAGTTTTTGCTAACACTCAAGTGCACAAAATGCAACAAGTCTTTTATAGGTATCATTCAAGTACTAAACAAGAGAGTTTCCCGTCACAAAATCAACATCAAATTACCAGAGAACAGAAAACTCTTTGTATCACAACACATCTACAAATGTAATAAAGGTAAATTTAAAATTATGCCAATATATCAAACAGACAAATATTTTCCCCGCAAACACAAGAAAAAAACTTCATGGACAAATTTACACCAGCACTAAATAGATCATAGCCTCACACACATAACCACACAGCATACATACATAGTGGCCGAAAAAACTAGTCGGGCCACAAAGACACACACACAAATATCTATAGAGAACGAATATATATACACATACTGATAATAACAAACGCTCTATAGTGGCCACACTAAGACGCACGCACGAAAACTCTTCACCAGAGGAAGTATATATATATATATATATATATATATATATATATATATATATATATATATATATATATATATATATATATATATATATATATATATATATATATATATTCCTTATAATAAAACAATATATATGTATGAGGAAAGAATATGTATTCTTTGACCAATGCTAATTGATTTATTACCCGCAAAGCAGATGAATATTTTCTCTACAAATCCAAGAAAATTTGTATTACCTTTACGCACAAAAGACAATGATTAAACATCGGAAAACAAGGAAAAATTAATTCCTTTAAATAATATGTGGAAATAACCATTCTTTGCCTGAACTGGTGTAACCAAAAATAAAGTATAATATATATTTTTAAAAATCCACATTATAACCAAAAACGTGTGCCTTTCCTCTTCTCTTTATATATATATATATATATATATATATATATATATATATATGATATGTCCCGGAAAGGGAAATATTTGATCGAAGTAGCTAATTGCTTTGCCTACTGTAACCTACTAGTACACGGTAGCAGTAATCGATTGGTACTCGTCGTAGTCGCAGGTAATAGGTGTAGACCAATAGGATAGCCAATAGCGTCGTCCAATGGGTGTCGTCATAGACTTGAACTCTGTCGTAACTACACGTCTATCTGTATTTATGACGGACACCAGCCAATCATATTTCAGTGAGGGTGAACTCAGGTGTATGCATATTCCATAACAATTCTCGCCAATTAAATCATTAACCTTTGCATTTGTTTTTGTGTGAATAATTCATGAATTTGTAAATTGATTGCACGTTTATCGTAATTAAAATAACTGATCCAAGTGCGACTTTTTTTTTGTTTTACTTCTTTTTCACATGGATTTAATTTCTTTTGTAGATTAAAAAAAACTTTGAGAGTTTTGGCGATTAACAAAGATGGCCGACCAAGAAGCATGCTCCAGGATTGAACAGCGGTCAGTTACCAAGTTTTTGGTTGCTGAAGGGTGCAAACCAGTTGAAATTCATAGGAGAATGTCAACTGTGTATGGTGCCACATGTTTCAACCAAAAAAATGTCTACAAGTGGGCTAAATTGTTTAAAGAAGGACGGAGCAGTGTTGAGGATGAAGACAGGCCTGGGAGGCCTACAGAAGTGAGGTCTCCTGAGGTGATCGAATCAGTCAATGACCTCATTCAGTCTGAGAGAAGAACTACTGTGAACTCCTGAGGCAGGTCAAGAAAGACATAAAGAACAAACGCAGGGGTCATCAGTCAGAAGGAGTCATCTTGCATCATGACAACGCAAGGCCTCACACAGCAGCTCAAACGGTGCAGACCATCAACGAGCTGGGCTGGGAACTGCTCCCTCATCCCCCCCCCTTACAGCCCAGACCTTGCCCCCTTCAGACTTTCACCTGTTTGGTCCCTTGAAAGCGTTCACTAGAGGCACGAAGTTTAAAAGTGACGATGAAGTAAAAAAAAGTTGTGAGCGACTGGCTGAAACATCAGTTCAAAGATTTTTACGCTGAGGGAATACGGAAGCTTGTGCACAGATGGGAAATATGTGTGACAGTTCTGGGAGAATACGTTGAAAAAAAAGTAAGCTTCTGTCTGTATTAGAAGTCCTTATACCGAAAATTTCACCTTATTTATTGAAAGACCCTCGTAACAATTTATGGATATCCGAATGACTGTATTTGTTGCTATAAGGATACAAAATTTAAACTGACCTTGCTGGTTTATGGCAAAATATTTCACAAAAGCAAAAAAGGAAATGTACGAAAGAATTACGGACAAATATAAGAATGAGAGGTGTCCATGAAACAAGCTGGAATATTTTTGTTAAATATTGTGAGCAAGCCAACCATTAAGACAAGGTGTCTCACTCGCAGTATGGTACATTTAAGCATTGACCCATTTGTGCGTTCGCTGTACATTTTAGACAATAATAGAATCACCTACTCGCCGACTTAAAGTTGTTAGGAAACTCTTCTCTCTCTCTCTTTTCTTTATTGCCTCACCTTTTTTGTTATCTTTTTATTCTCCCCTCCCTTTATTTCGGATTACGGCCATATCACAATAAAATACCGGTTCCCATACAATCACGGAAGTTGAGTAACTTCGAGGCTGGTCTGTACATTGATGGGTGGCCGCTTGGGAATAGCATGTTCTGTAAGCTTGGATGTGCGGGTGGTGTAATGGATAACACCTCGGAATTTGAAAATCGGAGAGCCGAGTTCCAATTCCAGTCGGGGTCGCTATATTACCTTACGAGCAAATACACTTGGGAGAAATATGAATTTACCTCTTCTCGTTCCCCCACGAGCTATGGGTTAATTTGTAGGACTTGTATCAGTAAATGATTACGATCTCCCCCTCACACCCTCAAAAAGAATTACAATGTAAAAATATTATCTGACTTTAAATAACCTACAAAAGTTTGATAAGTCGTAAAAAACAAATCAATCAATCTTTTTTTTCTTTTTACCCTGATAGAAAATAGAAATGGAACAACCTGTATCCGTATATACTCGTGTATCGTGCGACCCGCAAATTTTCACTTTATGACTTTATGATGGATCATGCAACTTCCTTTTTTAAGAGACCAAATTACAAGAGACCGACCACTTTTCCTCAATCTCTTTATTTCATCTTCTAGTTAAATACGTTAAAAATGTGAAAGCGAATACTAAAAGTATCATTAGTAACGTTATACTTGTTGCTTAAACGTCTACAGCCATAAACAACTGAATGAGAAACAGCTAAACATCATATAAGCAATGGAAAAGATGCATATTCGCTATATTTGTATTTTATAATACGATACTAATATGGGAATATTACATGCATTATTATGGGATACAGTTAATTAAAACATCAGTTTTATATAAAAAAAACTGTTTATTTTCAATACAGCTGCACATTTTGACAACAGTAACTGGATATATAGTTTGGTCAACGACGTAACCAAGGCCAGCAATACATATGCTAATTTTATATCTCGTGTATGATGTGACCCCCTTAAAATTAGCTTCAAAATTAGGTCTTTGAATGTCCTCTGATATGCGAGTATACACGGCGTACGTTTCATTTTATCCACGTTTAAACATAGAGATAAATTAGCTGGTTTACAGTAAATTAACGGATATGCCGATGAATATATGTACAGGTTCCAAATTGATGAGTGTAACTAGCCAACACAATTATATTGTGGCAATGTTCCCCCAACCTCTATATCTGTGGGTGTATTTCATGTAGACACCCCTCAACGTGCAGGTGGCCTGATGATTGCGTTTAGCATGAAACAGCCTGTCGCCTCTGAATGTTGACTTCAATGTTCACTTTTATATTTAATTACATACACTCTATTTCTGATATTGAGCAATTTATCCCATAAATATAGAATATAGCACGCCTTAAAACTATATATATATATATATATATATATATATATATATATATATATATATATATATATATATACTGAACAGCGTTTCATACTTGAAACTAATGGAATGTTGCCACTATACGTTGACCATCAGTATGTTAAATTCCTCTCTACATTTTTCAAAAGTCTCCTTTCTTTAAAGAAATGTTACTTTTTCAAGCCAACATACATGACAATAAAAATTAAAACTTTTAACTGAAGAGCTTTAAATATTTACTGGGGTATCAATAGAAGGCAAAAAAATGTGATTTATTAGCTGAAAGATCCATCTTATCTTGCCTTTCCAGCAATATTCACCTGTGACATCGTAGGTGAAGATAATAATTTAGGAGTTATTACTTTTAAATTCTCTTTGAAATATACATATATATATATATATATATATATATATATATATATATATATATATATATAGTCGACTCTCCCGTCGAATTCGACGAATGAAGGTCAAGCAGATTAGTTCCCAGGAAACCAACAGCCCGACAACAGCACGAGATTTGATTATAGTGGTGAAGGTTTTTGTGCAGAACCATCCACACATTTTGAAGGGCTGAATACAGAGACTTGGTGCACTAAGTGCCACAAGGTGCCCAAACGACCCTCCGCAGGTTTTGAATTCAGAGTTGTCCTTCTCCTACACCAGTTGCCATCCAAGGCTATAGAACCCAGTCTGTCCTGCTATTTACTCATAGCTGGAAGGAGAAGAAGAGGATATATATATATATATATATATATATATATATATATATATATATGGTTTTAAAAATGAATATTTTTACCTAATTGAAAAATAAATTACTTTACGATTTACTTTATTAAAAATAATTAAAAATATTCATAAATTAATGATTTTATCCTTAATAAATTACTTTTATTCGGTTATAAAAAAAGGTTATTTTCTTTATGGTGCTGAGTTGTCTAGGTCCTGAGTTGTCTCAATCTTGAGTTGTCAGCGGTGCTGAGGTGACGGTGTTACGTTGTCTCTTGCCGTATAATTTCGTCTAACACCGACCGCGAAAATAGCAAGTTTAAATTTTGCGAATTGAACCGCGTTACACGCAAGTAATTAACGAGCATTGTACCTTTTATTGTTTGTATTTTTCTTTTTCTTTTTTCTTTCGCTATTAATTTAAAATTTTTACCTTCACCCCAGCCTCCTCATTTTAATCTACTTATTGCAATTGGAATGAAGTTGTACTTTATAAGTTTGGAGTAATTTAAGAAATAATTGTCCACACCTAAGTACCGCCTTAATGGTTATATTCGTACTAAACGAATGAGTTAAAGAGTCTTCTGAGTGCCTACCTTGAAATAAATGTCCTCAAACCTGATGTGACAAGAGCGAATTAATTTCTCATCCGATTTTTTAGTTGGTAGGAGACATCAGAACTTATACTAAGTTAAAACTTAATATGACTTATTTTGCTTAGTTTATGCATGCATATATATATATATATATATATATATTATATATATGTGCATAATTTAAGAAAAAATATAACATTAAGTTTTAACATAGTATAAATTATATATATATATATATATATATATATATATATATATATATATATATATATATATATTTAGCTCATGAAGTTCGTGCAGAGAGGAACCCACACATGGATATGCCGAAGAGTGGAGTTTTATCTGGGGAGATAGACAAACCCGACCCCGGGTATGCGAGTCTACGGGGAATTTTGGCCTGAGGCTACGGGCTCTGATCGCCACATAAAAATCGACCTTGGGCCACATCCTGCCTTGTGGAGAGGCTGGTAAATACCGGCTTCTTTATGGCTGAATGGTTAACAGAAATCTGATCAAATGACGGGTCCCTTTGGGGTTACAGGTTCGTTTCGTGTGCGAAGAAGCACATATTTTCTACGAAATTTATCGAACATTCAGGCTAGTAAATGTAATTAATGCTGTTTATTTAAAAAAACGAATCATTTTCTTAAATAAATTGTATCTGTTAAAAATAATGTATAAACATAAAATATATTTACAGTATTTACATTATTCGGACTGAACCCTTTATTTCGATCGGATCGAAATAAAGGGTTCAGTTCGAAATTCCAACCACCTGAAGAAGGCCGGGGCGTACAACAGCCGAAACGTTGTGATAAATATGGCGACAAAGATGAGGACAATAGTCCGAATAATGTAAATACTGTACATAATACCTCATCTCAGAAATATAGACAGACAATAAAATATATTATACATACATACACACACACACACACACACACACACACACACATGTGGGTGGGTGTGTGTGTGTATGTTTGTGTGCATGTGTGTGGATGCAGTCTGTCTCGATAAACTTTGGATCTGCGCCCAAAGAGTTATGCCTCAGATGCTGATGGCGATACTGAATATGTTATGACTGTACAGGCCCACACGGGATTGTCATTCTCGATAGGAACGAATGCATGTAAAGGAGTTCTCCCCCAGTGTCGTCGTACTGTTTTCTTTAGGTCGAGTATGCTTTTCCCAGGCGGGAAGTCATCGTTTCTTCTCTACTCGCTCCTGCCCTCGGTGTTAATCGTGTCTCCAGCGTAATCGATCGTTGGCGATGTCTTCTCACCTCTCGATGTCCTTAAAGCGAAGATGACGTCGCGTTCGTCCCTACCCCCTTTACCAGTGGCTAGGTCCACGTACATAAGGACCTTCAGAATCCTCCCACCCGCTATACGGAACCGGCGCTGGATAACTGATAATGGGTTAGAATTATGGAATTGGTGACCCTCTAGGTCCAATTGATCTTCAGAATGCGTCTCAGACAGCAAAGATGAAAGGCGCTGAGGCGTATGTCCTGTCTGAAATAACGGCTCCAAGTCTCGCTGCGGTATATATATATATATATATATATATATTGTTATGGATATGTAATCATTTGGATTTAATTAATGTCTATATTCCCTATTTGCTTAGTACCTGTATCCAGTGAATTCTCTGTTAAATTGGTTTTCTTACAATTTTACTGACTATCGACCTTGCAAAATAGACTTAGCCTTAGTACACGATGGATGGTGATGGGAGATTAAAGCAACCCACTCACCTTGCGAAAAAATTTAAAAAATGTGAAAAAATAAAAGTCATCGACAACTTAGAAGCTTCTTGAACCAATCGCTACGTTTCATCCGAAATTTTTATTTCGCTCCCGAACTATCTGAATCCGCCTGCTATCCCAGTAGTAGAGGCTGTGGTCTTAAAGGATACGCCACCTCCGCTCTGATCCTTACTCTCGATTCCCCCAGAGTAATATCAATCATCCAGTAAACCCCCGCTTGACCTCGATGGCGTCGGCAACCTTCGTAGAGTTGGTGTCTTGATAAAATCGCCCAGCCTCCTGCGCTGTGATCAGGTTGATAGGAGTAGAAAGGCTCACCTATCGTCCGGCCTACACTCTTTCTATGGTTATTGAACAAGTGTAGTTGGATCCTTCCTTGTTCCCTGTTTAGGATATGGTTTACGCAGTTTCTGATCTTCATCAATGATCTTCCTAATGTCATCACTTTCCGAGTAGGCATTTATGCGGATGACACAACCATTTACTCCTGTCTCAATAGCAAATCCATCAGCGTTAATCTGACTGCTGCTCTTGATAAGGACCCCCAATCTGTAGTTAACTGGGGCAGAAAAGCGTTCGTAGATTTTAATGCCTTCAAAAAGAAACTGATCTCATTTAACCACCATAGAGAAACTTCCATATCCGCTATCAGCATGGCTGATGCTAGACTCATGAAGAGCAACACAGTACGCCTACTTGGGCTCGTGTTTTCAACTGATATTTACAAAATTACCATTCGTCGGTGAATTGAATACTCTTGCCATATATCGTGAGGGGATCCTGATACTGTTGCCATATATGGTGAGGGGATCCTGATACTGTTGCCATATATGGTGAGGGGATCCTGATACTGTTGAAATATATGGTGAGGGGATCCTGATAATCATCTAAAGGTTCTTGACAAAATCCAATGAAGGATCTGCAATGTAATCGATTCTGACTTGATATCTCGGCTTCATTCACTTTCTCACCGACGTTATGTAGCTTATCTCTGTTTTTCTACAAATATTTTCATAGCTACTGCTCTGACGAGCTTTCTTTTCCCCTGGTGACCAGACTACGTGAGCTTAAGCGTGCTGCTAGATTGACATCTAGGTACCACCCTCTTACTGTCCAATTAGTTAAATATAACCGCCACTTTCGTTTCCTTCCTTCACTACAATTTTCAAAAATTTAAATGCAGCGTCAATTGTCATCTATCTTCTTGAACCCCGCCCAGCTTTTATCCTTTCCTTGGTCTCCCAGATTTTTTCTCTCCCTTCCACTCTCTGTAACCTTCTGCGTACTAGGGTCATTCCCGCCTTGCTTGGGGTGAAATGGTTTAAAAATAGAACAGTGAAGCTCGGGATATTGGTTTGAACATTTAGCAAACATTCGACAAAGTTTGGCGAACAGGTTTTCTTCACAAGTTGAAAAGTTATAGTGTCTCCGGATATATTTTTGAATTAATTCTTATCAGATCGAGAAATGAAAGTTGTCCTGAAATGTCATTCTTCTACATCCATTCATCCTAATGCAGGTGGACCCCCAGGATTCTGTCCTTGGTCCTTTTTAGTTTTTTATTTCCATTAACAACCCCACGTTGACATCAGTTCTCAACTTGTTATCTGTTATATCTCGTACAAGATATAATAAACAAAGTAAACCCGAGTGTGGTTTTCAATAATAATTTTATAATCGGATGTAGGTTTGTCAAAATACAGAGACAGAGTCAGGAGTAAGCTAACCGCAATGGTGTTAGTAAACGAAGACCTTCTTTTGTCGCTCTCCTTACTGTTTCCTGTGGTCGTACTTTATCGGCCACCAGACCGTCCCTTATCGTGAATGGGGAAGTTGGGTTATCTCATCACAACATTATCTATGCTGATAAAACAACCATTTACTCCTGTCTGATTAGTTCCATAAAGTCAAAATGACAGCTGATGTCGAAACGACATTTAGTCTGTTGTTAACGGGGGCAAATAATGGGTTGTTATTTTTAACGTCTCCAAAACAAAGCTGCTCTCTATTAATAATCTGAGACCCCTTTGTACCTTCCATCAGGAGAGTAACTCGTTGCGCCGTCTTGGGCTAACATTATCGGCTGACATAAAGTGAAAATACTATACTGAATGCATTGTTGGATCAGCTGATAAGAAAGGTGGATCAATGTGTCGTGCTAGACAATCTTTCTCTCCATATCTATAAGTGTAGTCCATGCTTAGAATATCCTGCTATACATGTAAATATTCTTGATAAAATCCCAAGGAGAATCAGCAATATGTGAGGTACAGAACCGGCGTCTTGGCTTTAGTCACTTTCCCATCGCCGTAAACTTGCTTCCCTTTGCTTTCTCTATAAATACTTTCCTGGTAATTGTTCTAATGATCTCTTCCCTATGGTTTTCTTTTAAATTTTTGTTTCATTCCCCTCCCCACCATAGGCATTGAATTGTACATATGTGGACTAGTTAGGATTTTCATAGAGACAATGGGGTATTACGGTGAATGTTGTAAGAAAAATAAGTAAGAATGCATTGTTTTGGTGTTAGGAATATTTTTTGTATGTTTGGGTCAGTGTTTGTGGCTAGCTAAGTTTAAATTTAAGACAGTAGAAGACCGTACTTTTCCTAAATCCCAATTTTGACCTTGTGCCACATTTTCTGTATTAATACGGAAATAAATATCGCTCTTAGCTATATTACCTATACTTTCTGAATTTAAGCGTAATACTAGATTGGTAAGTAAATCTCATCGATTTAGAGTTTAATTGGCTAGATGTGACCGTAAGTTCTATGTTGACAGTTTCGTTTCTCGCACTTCTAGCTTGTAGAAATCTCTTCCGGCTCCATACTTTCGGGCCAACTTTGATCTTCAAAAATTTAAATGTAATATCAATCATTATTTCATGTCTTCCTGATTACTCTTTTATTGTTCTCGCTCCTTAGCGATGTTTCTATTTTTTAATTCTTCAGTAACCCTTTGTGTCTTAGAGGCCTTACTGCCTTGCTTGGAGGGAATTCGATTTAAAAAATGTATATTTTGTCTTATAATTTAAAAGTATATCCTTAATATAATGTACGCTGCATAATTTTACTTATATCAATAGGTGATTTTACTATTATTATCATCATTATTTTATCTTTATTTTACTATATATACATATATATGTATATATATTTAAAGGTGTATGTATATATTAGTGTGTGCGTGTGTATGTCTGTGTGAATGACTCTTCTTATAAACGCTTAAATGATAGCCTTTTCTATATTATGTGAGGGAATTTAGATAAATGCTGAATGTGATAATACTCTTCTTTGTTTACCGTTTTTTATACATACGATATTTTAATTGCATGTCGGCACTTGTACACTAACTGTCTGTAAGTACGCAGTTATGTGTTATAAAAGCGCGCCTGGCAGACGCCTCATGAGTATTTCAGGATGTCTCAATGGAGCGAGAATTCTGAATGTGTCGAATCCCTAAATATACACCTCTGCCCGTGTAATAAGGCGGTCTCGTATCTAGCTCATCTAGGACAGACGTTCTGCTGGTTTGCATTATCAGAGGGAACGCGTTAGTTAAAACTGAGATCATGATATATCAAAACTATCCGCCATTTTTTTTCAGGATCTATGATTGCCGACTGGAGAGGTAGCCAAACGCGTGACCTTCCAATTACAGACATCGGAATCAAGCAAGAACATATATAGATGTGTGTTTGGTGCAGTAGCAGACGGCAGAATCTGTGACACAGGGACGCGAAGGCGCATTAGAATAACGAATGAAGTCTTCCAAAAATTAAAGGAAGTGTGAAGACATCGGTATATTTCGTTAAAACTGCTATGTCATAACTGTCTTCCTGTATAATAACGAGTACTTGACAATCTCTGTAGATTTGATAATTTGATTATAGAGTAATCAAATATAATCTTAATACTTACAGGTCGTTCGGTTGGAAGGAGGGGTGGAGAGAAACGGCGAACAACTCATCTGAAATTCTCAATATTCTATAATAATTATTATTAAAATACTAAAGTCACCTATACGTGAAATTATGCAGCTTACGTTATATTAAAGATATACTTTTAAATTATAAAACAAAATATACATTTTTTAAATCGAATTCTGAATTTCTGAGACACATTGTAAGAAATTCTTAATACTTACAGGGCGTTCGGGAGGATAGAGGGCGGTGGAGAGAAACGACGAGCAACTCACCTGAATTCCAGAGCAGAGATCATAAGGCGTCAAACGTTAGTTAGAATTACAGGTGGCAGAAAGTTGTGGATATCTATGATCGCTTACGCCCTGAAGAGATACTCAAAAAAAATGATAATGATGATGATGTTAGCCTGGGTGAAATAGATGAATTCCAAATAGTGGAACACACCTATTCTATAGTTAATAGACTCTCCCACCTATAATAAGTAGGAGTAGTAAGAGTAACGAGGCGCTCAGTGGTTGGTCAGTCAGTCGATGTCGGACGACAGTTAGTCGAATACTAAAGTATCAGCGACCACAACTAGATTTCTCTGCGTCATACCTATTATATGAAGTTCCTAACGTTTTGTACGTCGAAACTATTTTAGGACCGACTTAGTACAAACACAAGCCTCCATTGTGAAACCACTCCACAACACTAAGTTATTGATTCTCATCGATAGCGTAATGATCGCCTCATGCAGTGATACCCAAAGTGGGTGATACCGCCCCCACGCCATGGTTCCCAGACTGCATGAATTTAAGCGAACTACTAGATTGTCATTTCGGTCCCACCCTTTCACTGTCGAAACAGTTAAATGTAACCGTTTCTTCTACTCAAACAGGTGCTTCTCTCGCACTTCCCGTCTGTGAAACTCCCTTCCCCTTTCTTGCTTCCTCGATAACTTTAATCTTCCAATATTCAAATGTAATGACAATCGACATCTGATACCTTGATCTTGTTCCCCGTTCTTCTCTGTATCCTTTCCTCAGACACGCCTCTTTATTCTTGTTCTCAATCCTGTGTAACCCCTTGCGAGCTAGTGGCACTCCCGCCTTGCTTGGGGTGAATTGATAAAAAAAAAAAAAAAAAAAAAAAAACGAGTCACCGAAAATTTTTCCGTCATCCATTTACTCACTAAGTATATTATGCGTTCTTTCCTCTGTCTCCCTTGCCTTCAATCTGTCCTGTGAGTATCAGATTTTCCAAGCTCTCTTTCCTTATTATGTGCCTTTCAAACCTCAACTGTTTCTTCCTGTTCCTTTGCATTTCGTTTCCATTTTCTCCAAAAGCTCACCGTTTCTCACATGTTCTGTTCATCATATCCTCAGCATTTTTTCTGTAAAAACACGTTTCCTATGCTTCAAGTTTCTTCTTCATCTTTGAGGAGATTTTTCAGCACTCACTGACATACTATGATAAGTTTTTAGCCGCCCTTACAGCAATTTTGGCTTGTGTAATAACGTATCTGCTTGTTTTTGCAGACAATGCCGTGTTAGTATCAAGGTACTCTCATCTATCAACGATAGCTGACATATTTTGCAATGAAAGTACGCAGAAGTAAAGAAATTGGTAAATTTCAACGAGGGTAAATAATAGGATGGCATCAGTGTGGCAAGTCAAATAGAGAAATTGCTAGGTTTTTCAAGGTTAATCACCAAAGGGTTAACAATATTGTCAAGAAATTTAATGAAGAAGGCCATTGTCTTGTGGAACAACGTTCAGGAAGACCAAACATCAAAGGGCGCTGAAGAAGGAAGTCATCAGAAGCCATCGTCAGGGCATCAAAGATGTCGTCAACAGCATGGAAATGTCGCCATATGCGGCGAGAATGACTCTGAAAGAGCTAGGCTATCAAAGAAGAGTTGCAAAAAAGAAGACCTTGGTTTCAGGGGTTAAAAGGTGTATGGACTGGGCGAGATAATTAGAGAGCAAAGATTATGAATTTTAGTGGTCAGTAATTTGGACAGATTAAAGTAAATTCTGCCAATATTCGAATTCGAGACAGGTTTATCTTTGGGGAAATCAGAATGAGACTTGGAACACTGAATATCTGCAGGCGAACATGAAACATGGAGGGATTGGAGTAATGGTGTGGAGCGCTGTCTGGTTTGGAAGGAAATCTGAGCTAATTCTTGTTGACGAGCGGATGAATGGTCCAAAATACTGTCAAATATTACAGAAAGGAATACACTCACTAATTGAAACCAATTTGATTGACATGAATGTCAACCTTTTTTCAAGAAAATGGAGCGTCATGTCATACGAGGAAAGCAGAAAATGCCTAGAAAGAATCACAAGGAATCAAGTCACTGCCATGGGTATCCCAAAGTCCTGACATGAATCCATTAGATCACGTTTGGGAGCACTTTCACAGAAAACCTCGAGAGCGAGCAACCAAAATCACGTCAGTGGCAACTCTTAAAGAAACATTGCTAAAGGAGTTGCAAAATATGGATCAGACGATTGTTCATAACTTGATCAAATCCATGAAAGATCGAATACAAAGATTGAAACTAGCAAATGAAGGACCTATTCTATACTAGTTCCAAATACTGTTTATTTATGTTGAGTAGGGATTACGTAATTGAATTTTGCAATTAGATCTAATTTATTTCTCCTGGCTAAAAAACTAAGGCCTCTGTACAGGAGGATAGATATCATGTAGCAGTTTAGCAAACTTTTCCTTGATTCTATCGAAATTTTGTTTTTAATACTCTGCTTAGCTTTTGGAATACAACTTTGGCTATCCCAATACGTTTTCGGATTTCAATATCATATTTTTCTGTCTTCTACTACGAAAATTTTAATAAAACGAAAATCATCATCTTCTGGCCTTTGAATCTTGTTTTTGTTTTTTTTTGTTTTTTGTCCTTTCTTCTCAGGAACGTCATCTCGGCTTCGTTCACTGTGTTGCTTTTCATCTTCAGTAACCATATTCGTGTTAGTGGCGTTATCGTTTTGCTTGAAATAAAATGATTAAAAACATACCAAGAATTTTTGGATTAAATGTATTTTCCATTTGTCTTATTTGTTTAGAGTTTTATAAAACTGTGCCAGAAACCAGGAGAGGACTGTCTAATTACATTTCCATGATCTGGCAACTTTGAGTGATTATCTTACGATCGCTTTTGATAGCAAGCGGGGGGATTTTAATTAATTTAACTAAATCGCCAAATTTGCAGTATTCACTCACTCAGCAAAGTCTATTTAATACAGTAGTTCTCAAAACTTTCCGTGGTTACGTATGCTTCGCTTACAGGCCACATCAATAGCGTCACAATCTCTGAACAGACTTCTTTCTTGTTAATACGTAATAACATTATTGCAAGCTCAAAACAACAAACTAATTTAATACTCTAAATACACATATGTATTTCACAAAACAAAAACAAACAATTTAAACAAGCCAATGAATTCAGCTAGTTTACCAACAGGATAAATTTACAGTTTTAATGGGATAGATGTACTTGGTGCAAAGATATCAGTTTCTCCACATCAGGCTGTAAGACACCTAGTAGAATTTTTCGATTCCAGTAATTTCTATAGTCTGCTCCCTTGCTTGGAGAGAAGCTGATCGCCTTCACGGAAATCCCAGGCTACTAAATATGATTTTAAATATATATTTTTATATTTCTTCCTTCCAATGCCCACCTGCCGATTCATTTTCTAACCCCATCTCTGGCGATTTAAAGATCCAGGAGATGGAAAAAAAGAAAATAGGGCGACAGAAGCAAGAAATATATATATATATATATATATATATATATATAGTTTATGAAAAACTAGGTAATACGTATGGGTAAACCCAAGGAGGATAAAATCCAGAGAGCTCAATGTAAATCCAGAGCAAATAATGAAAATAAAAGCAGATCACTTTAAGGTTCCATGTAGTGTAACCCGGATATAAGAGACCTGGATCTAAGAGAAACCCGGATATAAGAGAGATTTTCTCTGGTCCCAAATTAGAGCCCATACTTACCTAAACAAAATAAACCAAACCCGGATATAAGAGAAACCCGGATATAAGAGACTTATTCTCCGGTCCAGACAACTCTCTTATATCCGGGTTACACTGTAATAAATTATTTCACCACAGCCCTTTTAAAGGACTGCGGATCATCAGACTTTACTTCCAAAGGTTGAAACTTGGAAGTAAAGTTTGATGATCCGCAGTTCTTTAAAAGGGCTGTGGTGAAATAATTTATAACATGGAACCTTAAAGTGGTCTGTTTTTATTTAATATATATATATATACAGAGAGAGAGAGAGAGAGAGAGAGAGCTATAGATAAATTGTCGTCTAAATTACGCAAAAATGAAAAAACCTCACATCACATTTTAACAGATATATTTACCAAAATTAGACAAAAATATCTTGAAATACTAAAGAGTAAATTTATTCAATAAAATCGACATCGGCTTCAACCACGACCTCCAGACGACTTAGGAATCTCCGGCATATCTCCTTGTCGGTGAATGTTGCCATAATACTTGCCTTCAGTTCATCTTTTCATGTTAGAAGGAGTTTTGTTGGTCTCTCGCTCCACTGCGCCCCACACATAATAAACAATTGGGTTGCAGTCTGGGGAGCTTGGTGGAATGATGTGGACGAAAAAATTCTCCTGCTTGTGCGGCATGTTGCAGAGACCTATTGCCAGACATAGGGTTTTCAAACAGTCACCATCTTGACCCAGGGTAGCACATGAAAAGAAATTCACAACAAAATCCATTTGAAAATGGCTAAAGAAGTGGCTGAAAGTGCCTGGAACAATAATGACTACAAACTATTTTTACACTCACTTGTTAACACCAATTGAAAATATGGAAGAATATTATAAAAACTAAATAAAAAAAATTTTATATATGAAGAACAGTATTGAGGAAATTGCAAGACAAAATGTTTCGGCTATCACTCAATGGTGTTGCATTCAAATGGGGCTTGGCATATTTCCCAGAGCGTCAACGATATGAACTTGGCTTAGAGGGAACGGCTTCGCACGCCTTCT